TTTCCAACCGCATTCCAACACTGCAGTCCATAAAGTATATGCATAACAATCTTATTTTTGAGAACACCAAGAAAAACCTCAATCCACACACACAATATGATGTTAAAAGAGACAGTGAGGAAGCTCTACCTTATTCTTCCTTCTTTCCACTACACATGAATAAATGCGTTCTTAGTAATTAACTTTCTTTTGGGTATCGAAAACATGCCGATTTCCAACAGCACTTTCAACGGTCTGTGATTTGTACACGTGATGAAAAGATTTAAAGTCATCCGCTTAAGTAAAATATATTTAGAAATCCAAATCATGAAAATTAATAATCTATAAACTAAAAATGGAGTATTTATCACCATTTTGTTTTTGCCAGTTTTAATGATTTTGAGGTAAATGTTTGTTTTATAAACCTTACTATTTTCATTAATGCAGTTACACCATTTCAGAAATCATTTAAAATGTTTCACATCCCTCTCATTGAATTTTACAAGAAAATTATCTGCGACACTGCATCGAAGAAACATTTCCACAAATCTTTGCTTTTGGTATACCTAGTTGGTTGACTTAAGCGAAAACCTACAAGTGCAATCAAACATTTTCATCTCAACAGCAACAAAATATCCGATGCTACTAGACGGGACGTCAATTTCAATGAAATAAGATTGGGTGAAACACATTCTTATGTAAGCCAAATTCGGTTCATTTAATCTTATTCCATTTTTTTAATTAGTATTTTCGTTAAAGTTCATTCCAAAATTAATTTTATGCAATTTAATTTCATTCAATACACAAGCTCTTTATAGCATGAATGAACGAATCATCTAATAATCGGCAGTAACAAACTAGCTTTATGTCAAAAATCTAAGATTCATTTTCTAATACTTCTAAATACTTTTTACAGAAAAACAGACCACTTGCAAAGAACTCTTTTGTTTCCACCACACAATTTACACACAATTTCATTATCAGAAAGTGCAATGGAATATAAACTACTCGGCTTAAAAATTCGTTCAGGCACTTTAAGTTTCGGTATTAAATTACAAATATATATAATTTTTCAAATAGAAACTACCTATACATTTCAGTAAAGATATCCTCACTGTCTCGTATTTATTTCAGTAAAGAATATACTAAAGATTTCACGATAGCAATAATATAAGAGTAATAATAAGGCAGACTATATACTGGTCACAGCAGTTAATTACCATTACTCACTCGGCAACAAATATCACAGTACTTCTTGGTGAAAATACAAGTTTTCTCTTAATTTTCCTTTAAATATGATTTGACCTTCAATACTCCTCATGCAATTTAATAAATAAATTATTAAAATATATTTTCACAAAACATTCATAACTCATATAATGTACTTTGATTGTCCCACATTTGTCATAAATGAAAACAATTTCCATGCACTGGTTTTTTTTAACACACAATCATAATAATTCATAATTAAAACATATTTAAAAAATGAAAAAACACAATAGACTAATTCAGAGTTATTGAATTATCCTAAAATAACTCTAGATGGAATTCAAATGTATTCATGCAATTACTGACATTTCTTCACATTTCGTATTTAACTTGATGTATTCCAAGAAAATAAGTGTACATTTTATTAGAATACTGGAAGGCAAGTAAACATGCATTACAATTTGCTTCCAAAAATTGCCATTTTATTAAAATGTCACCAAGATGGAAAAATAATCACTAAAACATTTTTTCATGTTTTTAAAACGATAGCATATGTTGCAGTGTTAGAACAAGCCACAGGTAAAAGCGATTTTAAAACAGTACCTATGATCTACAGAAATAAATTCTGCCATATATGTACTTTATTCTTTTTACCATGTGAAAATATTACATTCATTAAAAAAAGTAAAACATATATATTAAATAAATCTTTTCCATTGTTTAACAATTCAGAATGATAAAAGGTAATACGAGCCACAGAAATACATCTTAAAAACATGCGAAATGGTTTTAAATAATTTTTCTCTACAGTAGAGGTTCTCAACCAGTGTGAAATAACCTCCCCCCCCCTCCAAAAAAAAAAAGCAGAGTTCTAAGGTTTTTGAAGGACCTTGTTTGGTCTTGAACAGGATTTCTTTTCTCACCCACAGTGAGCTCCACAATGGTGTTGGCACTTTTATGCATATCCATTTTTATGTCCATGGTGAAAGATAAGTAACTTGCAAAAGTATCATTACTTTTCAAGCTGCCTGCCCTGGTTTGATGAAACCCATCTGCCCCGGGTTGAGGTACAGCTGAAATCACGTCATCCAAAAGGGCTGAGAAAGTTAAATTTAAGCATTATATAAGCACAGCCAAATTAAGAGAAATGTTTCCTTATTTATACTTATTTCAGAATAATTTACACACTAATATGGCAACCTGTTGGGTCAGTAGCAGAGAAGCCAACATTGGGTCCAGGCTTAACCTGGAGAAGGTTCGGATATTTGGAAGTGCCTTTGCAGCAATTAAAATACTGCTGAGAAACTAATACTGTTACCTGTACGGTGCCCGAGACGTTTGACAACAACAGGTGCAACTCTTTTGCTCTTGGTCTTATCTGAAATACCATAATTCAATAAGAATTATTATTTAGATTGCACCATTTAAATTAACTTGGGGAGGAGGGATGTTGCCTACTGTTGTAGAAAGGTATAGAGTCGAGCAAACAAAGGTTGAGAACCCCTGGCCTAAAAAGAGATATTAATAATATTGAATTCATACTTAAAAAAGCAGCATCAACCCAGCTCCCCCCCACACAAATAATTTAGCTGTAAGGCTCCTGAAGCTCCTGTCTTTTTAGACAGCAACCTGACAGGACCACACACACACACACACACACACACACACAAAAAAAAAAAAAAAAAAAAAAAATCTTTATATAAGATAAATTTAAATCCCATTCCAATCTTTTATTTTACAAAATAAAGCTTCTATTGTTTTAAAATATTAAAACCCAATATTTAAAAAAATAAAAATTAATAGCTGAGCAATCTTATAAAAATAAAAAAAAAAAAAAAAAAAAAAGCATAAAAGAAACTTCTTTCTTGAAAGCTAGAAACTTTACAGCATTTACTTAATGGCTTCACTTTTTTTGGAAACAAGACATATATTTGTCCCCATTTAAAGCTAAAAGTATCACATTACAGCTTACAGTTGGAATATTTAAAATTTATAACAAATTATGAATGATGATGATTAGAGTCTGCATGACATTGTAATGTTTTTGTTCAATTGCTATGTTAATTTCCTTACTGAACAAACCTGGCTGCTCTAATTTATTCTGAAGAAATTTTATAGTTATTTCATTGCTTTCTATTTTCTTAAAATCCAAGATTTCAGTTATCCCTAGATTTTACTTAATCCAAAGATCTCCTTAAAACTGAAAATCATTTCATAAAATATTATATATCCTTTAAAAAATGACCTTTGCACTAAAACTGTTTTCTCTTTCATAAATGGAATCAATTAATGCAATATTGCAATAACATTCATTGCACTTTAAAACATACAAAGCACAACAAAATCTACAACTTTTTATACTCATATTTAATCTCTGAGAATTATCAAGTAATCTTATGTACACAAAAGAAAATTATATTAGAATCTATGAAACTGAGCAAGCAAATGGACTGTAGATAAAGATTCTTTACTTCTATAAAAATTAAATAAAACTGCTTAGATTTTAAATATCCTTAAACTAAGACTAGATGTGGGCATGAGGTATAAGGATGTCTCAACAGATGTGGCTTGATTTAATGTGCCCACAAAAATACTTTATTTTTAGAAAATGGAAAATATTTTTATACTAAAACAAGTAAATGATCAGATTTTAAAATGTTGAGTCTGATTTGAGCTGGTAACAGTGGCATTTTATCACTGTCAGTTTATTCTGCAGTTTCACTGTAGCTTAGTCGACTTGGAGTGCTACAAAATAGAAGAGGGAGTTTTAATCATAAGACTTCATTGCAAAAATGGTGAGTGTTATGCTCAAGCACCCTGGTACTTGCACCATTCCTCAACTGCAAATTTATAAAATGGCCAAACAATCATGTGAAAAGTTCCATTTAACTGACAGTGGATGCATTATATAGCATGTGATTACAGTGTATATGGCGTTAACAATGTAAAACACACATGGCAATTTTTTTATACACACATGATAGAAAACTTCATGCTACCTTTTGACATGAAAATGTATTCAATAGTAGACATTAACTCGCAAAGTTCTAAGTCAGTTTGTTCAAAACATCTCTATTGTGCATGACAGTATTCTTGCAAGTCCCGAAGTATCCAAACTGAAAACAGCTGAAATAAAAGAACTTAAAGGGAAAACAGCCTGTTACTCACCTCAATAAGTATGAGAGAAAGTGATTGCACATTTCATGCAGAAGTCATATGCATAATTACTAGATAATGCTTTTTATTCTTAAATAAGCAATTTACCTGTTGTAAATACGTACAAGGATTTTCCATTTTCTAAAAATAACCTATGTTACTGGGCATATTGAATCTAGCACTTTTATTGGGACACCCTTTACAATGCAAAGCACCTGTCATGAGTTGAAACTATACAATTTTGTAACAAATCATAACATCGCACATGCAGTAACAAAGTACAGTAATACCCTATAGCATTTGAAATTAAAATTCACCAGAACAGATAACCTGAAATTTCTCTTAAAATAATGCCACATATGTGCATTCTACAGAAGAGCTTCTAAAACACTTTTTGAAACTGCTATTCTTGAATTAAGATTAATTTATAAAAATTTGCTATGTATTTTTATATAAATTTTACATAGGTTCTTCAAAATACAATGAAAATAACTTTCAAAAATAAAATTCAGCAACAAATAATAATACGAATTACATTGAGGCATTTTATAATGTGCACACATTACTTGTACATAAAAACTTTTAAATAAATTATTATTAAATCTATGTAATTATAAAAAAAAAAAAAAAAAAAAAAAACAAAAAAACTTTTTTTCCCCAAACATCTCTGCAATTTTTAATACTTTCTACACAATTTATACCAGTTTGAGAAGCTCTGCATAGAATATGAGTTTTAAAAGGTACTCTTATTTATTATACAGTTCATACAGAAAGAATAATAAAAAAACATGAATAACTACAATTTTTAGAAAAGTTTCACATTTCGTTTAAACAACAAATTTTAGAAAAAAAAAAAATAAAATAAAATAAAAAAAAAAAAAACTACTAAGTATTTTTATACTTTTAACCATATTACAAAATAATTAACAAGCAGAAATAACTTTACTGCATTTGCAATCAGTAAAAAAAAAACCCACTAGACTTTAAGCATTAATTACATTTTGTACATGATTAATTACAAAGAATTTAAATTTGAAACTGTAGATATTGTTTACCAATGACATTTTCTTCTTACAATACCACCAATCTTCCAGGCCATGTGTGCTTAAAAATTATCTGCAAATTGTTGCTTTTTAGCAGTTAACACAAAATCTTAAAACTTTTTGTTTCTAATTGCGTATTGGTCCATTTTCATACATACGTATAGTTAAAATACACATACAATGGAAATTTCAGAGAGATTTAAAGATTGAGTTTTTACAGCAAACAAAGCTGCAAATGCAAAACATTCAGAAAGGATTTTTTTTTTAATTACTTTACACTATTGCATTTATCAAATATTTCAATTGTGTAATAAAAATATTATTTTATACCTATGAAACTCCCTGTGCATAATGTAGAAAACTATGTAAATGCCCTTCTGTAACTAAGGCTACACCAGTCAAAGCATGCAGCAGCAGTATTTTAAAATAGCTGAATCATACCTTTTTAATTTGAGAAAATTTTTAATTCTTGAAAAAAAAAAATTTAACAATTCAATGACAAAATTCACAAATAACACACTGAAATGTCAAAAATGAATTTCTAATTTAGATTGCTGGTCTGAATTTTCACGAAAATCTTTTAATGTTAAATTTCTAGCATTAAATTTTTTTCACTGCTTACTGATAACTGTTTGTTGTAATTTACTTGAATTAAATCTTTAATGAGATAGATTTTCAAAGCTAATTTTTTTAACATTAAAATAAAAAAAATAATAAATGTAATAAAAATTTCCATGCAGAAAATATTAGATTTTCAAAGCTTAACTTTTTTATTAACATTAAAATAAATAAAAAAAATAAATGTCATAATAATTTCCATGAAGAAAATGTTCTTCTCATATTGTTAAGTCATTCTGTTACCCTAAAATTTGCCATCTTCATTAGAAACTCAAAACCAGCAGTATGGTCATTGCCTGGTAAGAATCGGCCTGAAACTTCACATAGATATTCAACTGCTTAAACCAGCATCCAAATAAGATAGAAATTATGACTAAATTGGTTTAAGCAAGAAAGAAAGATTTTGTATTTACAAGCTTTTACAGAGCACAACCGAAGTCCATTTTCTTTAACCTTTGTCATGAGGGTGACTTCTCCTTTCAAGTGAGGAACACACTGATGCAAGAAATGTGACACTTAAATTGGAAGAAAATGATATTTTAGATATTATGCCAATTATGATGCAAATCACAAAATGTCAAACTCTGGTCCCATAACTTCACATTAATACTGAATTTGAATTTAAAATAAATTATTTAGTGTAAATGTGAATTAATGACCTTTTTTAATACTCATACTACCATAAAATATACATCTGTAACTTATGCATATGAAAGAACTCAAAAAATTACCAATCTTTATCAATTTTCTCTTATGAGTAAAAATACATCTGATGAGATGATGGCATAAGATACTTTTGCTGAATAAATAACATTCACTTCATTCAGCTAAACATTCAATCCATGTATTTCTAGCCTGACCTAGCTTTTTCTAAAATTTCAGCCTAATTTGATAGATTTACAATCACAGAAAAACTTGTACAATGATATTACACCATTGGATATTTTTACAAGAATAGGAAAGTATCAAATTTTTTTTCATTATTCTTTCAAATACAGCAATATAATTTACATTTCACTTGCTACATAATTGGCATTTATCTTTATTTTACTCAAAGAATAAATAATCAATTTAAAATACCATAAACTACTTTTCAACTCCTCATAACCTAAATAACTCTTAAGTTTATCCCGTCAAGCTCATTTTTTTAAATAAAAACAGAATATTTCTTATTTCAATGCATCCCTCAAACAATAAAAAAGGAGAAAAGCGGGGGCGCAGAAATGACTGATGTTCACGACGATGTTTCTAAAGTTGCCATGAGGCTGTGATACACAACGGATTCTAAGACAGGAAAACTTGGAGTAAAAGTGCCTCCTCCGCTGCTGCCGCCAGTAAGCTCGCGATTAGTTCTAAACTGCGTGGCACACTGGCTACTCCCGGTGGAGACAAGTCGTCTGCTGGGGGAAGGGGAGGAAGGAGAGAAGACCGCCGATGGCGACGATGTCATAGAAGTAACCGTCTGAGAATTATTTTGTATTCGGCTATTATAATAAGGCGATGCACAGTCAACTGCACTATCACAGGATGGCGAAGAAGTGTTATTGTTATAACAGGACGTTGGGCAATCGGCACTGTCAGATGTGGTACGGGAGGTCACTGTCACAGAGTCCATCGTCTCCTCGTTGCTGCTGTTATTGGTGCCTTCACTGGTGTCCATTGCCGTTTCGCTCATGCACGACTGGTTGACAGGGCTAGTCGGAATGGGACTGGAGACTTGCCTGTCTGGAATGATGACACGTAAGAAGTCTTCGCTAATGCCGAAAATTTCATCACACGATGATTCATCGTACAAATCAGACGTATTTGAATGATTACTGTTCGTGGACTCTTTCACTTCACTGCCGCAGTGTCCATTATTAGCATTTGAATCAAAGTCCGTTGCGAAATGGTTCGAAGATACATTACCTAAAGTATTATTTAAAGGCTGGAATCGCTCAGCAAAACAGTCCATCCGCTGTTGACGTTGCCGAAGCTTAGCTTGGCGTTCGTTTCGAATGTCCAAATGTAACTTTTTGATCGTATTATTGATTAGGACCGACCTAAGAAGGCAAAGTTCGGGGTCCTCTATCTCGGCCAATTTATTTATGGACATTTTGAGCACTTTTTTCCTTTCATCTTTCCACCTTTGACGAGAATTCCACATCTGTGGGCCTCTTCTACGAGGAATGTAATCCTCATCGTCAGCTTCGGCAGAATTATCGTCCTCCTGGCCATCCGAAGATGAAGATGAAGATGATGAAGACGATGAAGAGGCAACACTATTGACCAGTGGTGTCTGAACAAATGATATGGATGATGTAATGGTATTTCCATGATCTGTGGAGGACGACGATGATACTATGTCCGACTGCAATGGTGTGGCCGCTTGCTCTTCGATTCGCGACTTTTTGGAGCATGACTGATGAGAATCACTTATGCCGGTTGATATTTTTCTCTTCAAGTCATTGGTATCTGAAAACGAAAAAAAAGAACCTGTTAGAAAATTCAAAAGCAAAACCTTTATCAGTAGAATTTAGAGCAATTTGTACAAAAAAAAAAAAAAAAAAAAAAAAAAATTGTATATATATTTGTTTATATATATTCTTCTATTTTTTTTTAAACGCGGAACTTTTCACTCCGTAACAGAAATGACGTTCAACAAAATTAAGAACGGCTATCAAATGATAATATCTGGACAATCGGAAAACATTTTAATTTTATAATTCTAGTTGACAAAGCACTAAAAACATATGCAATAGTAACAGCTTTTAGTGTTTACTTAACCCAGCGATGTTCGCGAAAAATTTATAAATATTTCTACTGTTTTTCGCTTTGACTTTCATTAATCTTCCGATGAGCTGCAACATCTACATCATCATAATGAATGTCGAGTCGAATATAAAAGTGGGACAATGTCAACAGTTGTATGTGAGAAAGAAATCAGGGCATTGTGTCAAGCATCTACAATTGAGGTCATTTGGAGAAGGTGAACCGTCGCTATTTCACACTTATATTCCTTCAGCCACAACTCAAGCACAAATTTTTTAAGCTGGACAAGTTTCTTAAGAACAGGTTTCCCTACATGAAACTGGTACAGGCGTGGCTTTTTACATGCCTTTCTTTACAAAGCCAAGAATAATAAAATTTTCATTTGTTTACAAATCTAAGGTCATCAAGAACGAACCTAAAGTGGGATTATTCGGTTTCAAGATATTTACGATATCATATTCAAGCAAAAGCCTTAATAGTTTCAAAACACAATTTGCAATCCACAACTAACTTACAACAAATATATCAATAAAGAAAAAAATTCCACTGCGAATACATAGCTGAAATTGTGCTCGTGTTCCCCCTCCCCCCTTTGCGAAACAAATTGCGCCTTCTCTGCCATTGCATTCCAATATTACTAGCCCCACCAATGCCCAGCCGGATAGCTGAATATAAGTAGTTCGACCGGGATTTGAAACCAAGCAAACGGGTTTGATGCATAGGTGTTTTCCTTGCTTTCTCCCATATACATCGATATAGCCCTCTTACTAGGCAGACAGTCCTCTTGTGCTCTGCAATATTCAAATAACCTAAGCAGTATCACTACTAGAATCAGTCAAATGCGATATTACTCGATGATACTACGTTTATTTTCTTTTAATGCGCTTAGCTTCTAAACAGTGAATTCATTCTGTTAAGAACAGAATGCTAACATTTCTCAAAAGAGCAATTTTATAAACCTCTCTCTTCGCTATCGAAAGAGGCTTGCGTAAATCACGCAGTGAACGTAAGACAAGAAAATGTCAACCCTTTTTCACCTGCGATATCCAAACTGTTATGTTCGTCTGGGCGGATGTGACATCACGTACTCAAAACATTTCCTTCTTTAATTCAGGGACCATATACAACAAATATTTCCAAATTGTTTCGTCGTACCGTTTTGACTACATTTACCGATTTCATTATTTCCAGAGAATTAACTAAATGACACGCAGAGCAGATTGCAGATATCTTCACACTTGAAATTTTTATTACAAATACACCTTTATAAGCATATGCACAACTCCAATACGACCACCCACGTTTCTCGATGATTTCTGAGACCCTGAAAGTGATCGCCTTAAAGAGATGATATTCAGTACTGATGTTTGTTTGCTTATGGTGTCAGAAATACTGCTGACTTCGAAAGGTAGTTGGTTGCCTTTGAGAGATGGTGGCCACGAAACTGTTCTCTTTTACCTAAACATATATTAATGCAGTGGAACTCTACCGTAGCGAACACTTTTCTTAAAGATGACTGCTCTTTCTAAATACCTGCATAAGAACATCATGGTTTGGCTTGTGAGATATATTATTTGAAAGTTCAATCAAGGGCAGACGTCTGCTCTCTTTTATCCTAAACGACCACCTAATTCTGAGAACGTAATTAATTATGTTACTAAAGACATCACTGATGTTCTCTAAAATGGCCAAATTATCTGAACCATGGGCACAGTTTTATGCGATAAAATAAAAAGATATCGTTCATGTAATTTTGGGCTTCAACTTCTTTAATTGAATTTAAAAAAAAAAAAAAAAACTTAAAGGAAAATTATAATTTAACATCCAATATTATGATTAATCCTACAGTTCAATCTACTTAATTTAAACGTTCATTGCTAAGCTCGCATTTTCTTCGAAGATTCGAGAACAAATCATCCCTTAGGGGCCGATGAAGTTTTAAAGAGGATCAATGACAAACAAGGGTTCTCTACTGGAAGTCGACAGCCGATTATGCATCGGCATAATCAACATCCCACTGATCACGACAAAAAAATTATAATTGATAATTTAATTTTATAAAAAAGATTATTAATTTATAAAAACTGATATTTTTTAAATATAAGGAGAAAATACACAAAAATTACTTAATACTTAAAAAGATATACACATGTGTTATTCAGTAACTAATATTTTATGCATTTCGTTTGCATTTTTCAAATCAAAATGGGCGCTCAAACAATTTCATTAGATTATTTATTATACACGTGCTGTCAAGGATCAATGACTCTTCAAAAGCACAGAAAAGTAATAAACATCCCGACTAATGTAAATAAAGATCCGGAAACTTCGGCTTCATTCTTTAGTCTGCACAAGCGCTTCCTAGCAAAGTATTACCACGGAGATTGATATAAATGAATTATGATCAATATCAAAGGAAGCACCACTAGTGGCTCTTAATTGCAACAACATTTAACCTTTTAATATAGCGGTAATTTATGTCCTTTTAACTAACAAGTAAAATTATGATTATTAATTAAAGTAATAAATTATGATTATTAATTAACGTCATCACACGTAGCTTTTTGATTGCATCCCACACGCAATTAATTATACGATTTACAAATTAAAATTTTTCTACAAATAAATGAATAAAAACAAGGGGGATCTGAAACTTCAGATTTTAATAGATCTCCCAAAATGGTTGTGGTTTTTACATGCTCCCTGCTAACTTTATTTTAAAATCTTTTTAGCTTCATCATTAATGATACATAAAGCATATACAATTCAACAGCATAATCGCTTAAACTTTAAAAGCAGCATATGCATAGAATTCCCATTGTAGTGTTAAATATTGGCAAACATTTTTCTATTTTTTCTCAGTTCAATTACATCAATGTTCAGTTTTCTTAGTAAAACATCTTACAGAACAATTTGTCTTATTATTATTAACATTTTGCATGTTACCTTTACTTATTAAATACCACAATCTTCGCACTTTACGTCACCATAAAATTCAACTCAATGCAAAATCGCGAAATATTTAAAACCAATGTGTCTTTAGAATTTCCAATAGACAGTCTCACACGCTGGAGATTAAAATGTTTCATGCCATACACTATTGTTACTACTAGATTTCAAATCGTCGAGTTTGTTCATTAAAAATTCATTAACGTTTTACAAAATAGGAAATATAGAACAAAAAATATAACCTCATTCTATGAAAATACTGGATATTTTTAATCAGACAGATTATAAATTAAATTTATTTTCATTATTTAAATCACACCAATTCAAAAGTAAGAAGGAAATATTCTTAAGAACTGCATCTATTGATTTCAAATAGCTGCTTATTTTCTTAATGCACAACAGAGATTTAATTTGAAAGTTAAATACCTTACATTTTGCCAAATAGCAACAGACTCGAAAAGCAAAACGACACCTTCATACATGATTCGAAACAAAATCCGATTTCGAGTCTAATAACATCTTTTCGGCTTTAAGAGGGGAAAATAACATAGAGAGAAAGGAAAAAAATCTGAAAGAACTCCTATTTTATGCTCTCGCTGATCTGCTCTTGGACTACATAAATAAAACTTAAATCTGCAAATGAAACAGAAAGATGTGCATTTAAGGAAACACAATACTTTCAGCTTTCTTGCGGCGATTACCTCTGAAAGTGACCGGTACGTTTTAGAACTGTTGCCGCTTGCACAGCCAGCCGCCTAAAACAATGATCTTTAAAAGAGAAAAAAATGCACAATAATTTTAATGAGTCCAGTTGGTGCAATTTCATAGAAATATTAATTCTAGACATCTCATAAATTATATTTTTATTTAAATGGATAAGGTTAAAAGTCGAAAAAATATTCTTAAGAACTGCATTTCTTTCTTTTAAATCACGGCTTGTGTATCACATCCTTCCAGATTCAATACCTTTGGCTTCACTAAATGGCAACATGTTGGCACACTGAAAATAAAAAGTATTTCAAGCTATGGCAACACATTGATTTTAAATACCGCGGATTTTAATTAAAAGTTAAAGGTAGCTTACACCTTGCCGAATGGCAACAGTCTCGCTCACTGAGGATAAAAATTTATTTCGAACACTGTTGCCACTGCTTTATTTGAAATGAATTAGTTAATCAGATTCATTAAATGCGTACGAAATCTGAAACTGGAAAAATAAATAAAAAAAATCTGGCTTCTATTTACTAATAATGAAGAGAAGAGATTATTCGTATTTCTCACATAACGAACTATTTGCCGCACGATTATAAAATAAAAACTTCAATCGATAAACGGAACCTCCATGCAAGAAAACTTAAGAAGCGTTGCTCGGTTTTACCAAAAAGAAGGAGCGAGCACAGAAATATTTAACTATAAAAAGACTACACAATGAGGTAGCGCTGGGAAAACCCCTCCAAGGAAGCTTTGCTATAAACGTAAACATCGTTTCGGTAAATACACGGATCGGCGTCCTTGGCTTAACCCACATTAAAAAAAAAAAACTTGTTGCACGAAAGGCGACCTCTTTTCTTTTCCCGTTACAGAGTTTTTCCCTTTTCCGCTCGTTATTTTCCCTTTCCTCCAGAAGTTCTTTCAAGTCCGGAGTGAAAGTAGGTAATGACTACAACTAACTCTTTATTACTCAACTTCCAAAAATACAGGACTGAATTATTTCGTGTACGTGAAATTTCTAAAAACGGTTTCAGTGTTATAACACGGTGCTAATAAAAATTCTAAATAACAAGTCTACTATTACATAATTACGAATCTTCCTCTTGTACGAAAACCATGGTAACTAGAGATTTGAGCTCACTACAAAGTTCCACCCGAACCTCGAGGGTACAATTTTGAATTTGTATATCATTTATTTCATAGTTTGTACGAAATTAATGAATTTCTGAATAACAAACTCAGCGATTTAGAAATAAGTAGTGATAACACTGTTCGTAATAAAACATTTTTACCTCCTACACGTGAGATTAAAAAAAATAATAAAATTACCCCCTTGTTCAACATAGTAAAGAATAATTTCAATTATTTTGACTTAAACATCAGAAGAAAACACTTATTCGATAGCAGTAGTGCTTATTGCATCGGTGCTACACCATTCAGCCTGGCTAAAATTGATTTACAGGCTTAATTCACATTAGATTACAAGTCATATGAGAACAATTTTACTGTAAGAAAAATAAATTACATGAAATTAGAGTTTATTACTGTCTTAACATCCTCCCCTTCTGCAAAAAATTACTATTAATCTTCAATTCCCACCAAAATAAATCTGTTTCTCATCCTTGCAGGCCTTTTCATGTATTTTCCAAATTGTAATAATACGCATCTCGTCGGGATAACAAAATGATTCATTTAGTTAAACACTTTTTTTTAACATTTTGATTCCTGCGAATGGCAGCAGGTGTTCAAAAAACGTATTTCTAAAACCATGCTACCAAATATATATGGTAATTTTTAATCTTCGCACATGAACACTAACAGTGAGCGCATGCGCGCATACATCGTATTTTCCCTCTGCCATTTTAGACAGACCAGTTCTGAACATTTAAAAAATAACTTTCCCCGTCTTTGATTCAGTGAAAGAACTCTCCTAAAGTTTAAAACAGGCTCATCTTTCTAACGAAAAGAAACCCTCACAAGCTACTTGCGAAGGTCAAGCCGAAACTTTCCCTTCTAACTGTTAAAACTTTACACCAGCCTTATATATAAAAAAAAGGACCGATCATAGCACAGCAAACGCTCTGGAACTTCGCCCAATTAGCTGCACATTCGTATTATGTACAGTTAGCACACATCACATATTTATGAATGATTAGAGGCCTAAGGGTGTACAGACAACAATAAGAAGGACCGGGATTGAAAATATAAGGAAGTAAATGAAGATACCTTATTAGATATTGTCATTGCATTACTATGTTTTATTACTGAAATGTAGGATTCTTCTAAACAAATAATATTGTAGTAGCTACCGATAAGTTTTCCATGACTACTATTCATTTGTTATGTTTTTACTCTAACTGTATGCTTCGGAAACTAAATGATTCGCATAATTTGCCCTCTATTTTTGGACCAAAAAATTAGAATTTTTTTTGCCTGGGTAAAAAAATAAGTCTCAAATCTTGGCTACAAATTGGTGGGAAAATACCTCTTACACCTTTAAATATGAGAATTCCTGTTGAATCGTTCTTAAAAAGCTGATATTTTACAGATCCCTTCACACCTCTCCCAAGTTCAAAAACAAATTCACAGACAATCGGGCGCTGTCTTCAACACGTCCGCAATGCCAGCCAATTGGCCCACGTGCGTAAGTAGGTCTTGAATGTGAACTATTTCCGCTTGCCTGACGCTACCCTCTAGCACTTCCTACTTTCTAGAACCCCAACCGACAGGTAACGCCACCTAGTGGACGCACTGGCAGCTCGAAGAATTGATTACCCCCCCCCCCGATTTCCTCCTCCGCTTCGACCTCGAGTAACTGAAATTAAACGAGTTTATGGTACGTTGCAAAAAGTATTTTAATGCAACATTTAAATGTATAATCTTAAATACTGCTATAGTAAAACAATCAGACATTCCAAAAACGCAGATCAGTAGCTGCATAAAGCATAAGAGGAAAAACTTTATATGCATGCTTTGCAAAATATAAAATAATGAAAACGATGTTCCTTTTCAAAGCTTGTTAAATACGCCTAATATTCTTTTTTCACACACGATAATAAGGCACACGATAATTATTATTTGTTCACTTAATGACAAAATGTACAGACTCTTTATAAAAGTTACAAGCTCGTTAAATTATAAATCACAACGAACATACACACATTACGTCTATTAAAACAGGTAACATATCAAATACAGATAACAGATTTTAGAGAATTATCGTCCGAGATTTCAGTAAATATAACACTTACAAAAAAAAGCTTCAATAGTATTTTGACTGGCAAACTAAAACGTTAACAATACAATCATTTCTTGCAAGCTAAAAATACACTACTTTAAATATTTACATGGCAAATAATAGGGATCAGAAAACTAACAATTCAGCTCCATTTAGCGAAATTTCTAATTGCCAGTGTTAACAAAGCTAGCACAGCTGCTGGAGTTACGTTAGTTGCCATCGTCGTTTAATTCACTTAATCTGCATTTCTGATGGCCTTAACGAAAAAAGCAGAAGTGTCGGAAAGATTTAAAAAGGAAGGGGGGAAAGCATGTTAATTAACACAAACCATATATATATAAATAAAAATCACGAAAACACAACTAAATTATTATCAAAAACGAATAATTTTTCCATAAATAACCTAATAATTAAGTAAAGTAAGAAAATTAAATCTTTCTTTTAAGTGAAAAATCTTCGCATACATGGAAAGGAGGGAAAAAAATTACCTGAAAAGGGCATATGGCAGAAAATTTAATTTTTTTATTGTGACACGTTAACTACAGCATTCTAACAAATAAATAATAATTCACAGTAGCAGTAACATAATAAGCAATACATTTGTAATTTAATAGTTCTTAAATGAATAAAATTTGAATTCTCATGACTTATTAATTCTCGCTGCATTCATTCGAAGGTAAACTGAATTAATTCATTAAATAACTGATCAAGGTCTACTTGATTCACAAAAATGATTTTTATTTACCACTTCTTGAAAGATGCTGTTTTTTGTTACTTATTAAAAACTGTTCACTAAAAAGAATTTAATTCATCAAAATAAATTAACTCAAGGACTGCGTTTCAACCAATAATAAAGGTCATCGAAACAACCAACAAAAAAATAAAGTAAAAATTACAATACAAACAACGGTTTATTTTTGCCAAACAGCACAGCAAGAAGAACATAATAAGACGTTATCAGATTCCATAACGTTTATGATTCAAACTTCTCGAATGCTAATCACAAAAATTCAGAAATGAGAGACTTGGCGTTTTACTGGGCATCATATTTCATAACTACCTTATGACTTTTTTAACCTCAGGTTCTAAACCAGCCAGCATTTAAAAAAATGTTTATATATCTCCGGAACTGTTAACAACCAGATAATTATGTACTTACTTATATTGCGAAATCTATGATTTGAAATTTCTGCATACGTCGAAGGAAAAACTTGCATAATGCGTTTACTTAATATTCTCATAACTGTAAAACTAATTCGTTCATGTACGAATCCTACGTTACCGCGTTTAAAACGCTCTAACGGATAACGGAAAGAGGGCAATCATGGAATACGTAAACGGCCTTCCCGAACAAACTCAACAGCAAACCTACTCAACCAGCTTGAAACCGGAGCCTTCGCCAAATTCTAAAAAACTCTCGCCAAGCGACGAGAAGGATCATGTCATTTCTGGAAACCTGCGTTGCTATCACCATTGCTCAAAACAATGTGATTACGAAACCTAATATGGCCATGGCACTCTCCTTTTGCCAATGCTTCATTAATTACTATATAAAGCAAGATTGGACGATCTGACAAGTTTTCCTTATGCACTCAATTTTAACATCTTTTAGTCCACTTGCAGATTAGTATTCACAAATTTTCTAAAAACTGAGGAGAAAAAACACTATATATTCCATATATGACATGATTGTACTAAATGTACCATACTACTGATCAAACGTAAATTTTTTTTCTTCACCAGGTAGCACATTCTTTCAAATTAAACTTCACATTTTACATTAGGAACTAAAATTACGAAACAGCTTTTACTTTAGTTACATTACATTTGTGAAATACCAAAGCAAAATTTTCTCTTTGAAAATTCAAAGTTGCTGCAAAACATAATCATCCATCCGTACAATAATCACAAACAAACATTAAACAACGGAACGAGCTAACACTATGCAATAGCATTATTCATTACAATAACATTAAGACATTTGCGAGTACACTCAAAACTTTTAATGTTTCAAAAGTGATTTAAGGTAGACTCACCAGATGGCGTCCTCAGAGAAGAATCTTCTGACGGTGTACTATAATCGGTAATATCCGCGGACCAATCTCTCATCAATGCAGATTCAAAGTCCAATGGCTCTCCATCAAACCCGCAAGGCATGTTGGAATTTCGAACGCTACCAGAGCCCGTAAACAATGGATTATTGGTAATTTGATCACCTCCGAAAGGCAACACGAGAGTCATCCTGCAGCAGCAAAGGCCTCATCGGGAATTCCAACAGAAAATAAAAACAATTTCCACAAAAAACTTCACATAAAATTCCAAATGATTACAATATGCAATTTAATGATATATCCACACGATGCTCCGCTGAGCTTCTGCAGACGATAATCCAATGCACAACGCGGAAAAGGGTAACAGGAAAAAGGGGACACAACAGATTCCTTCCGACGTCCAATCAATGCACAACAGCGAGCGACGGCAAAGCACAACTTATTCCATCTACGTCACTCACCGAACTGACGACTGCTGGCCTGCAGTCGCACGAGCAGCTGGCCGAGTACAATTACTTGCGTGGGCGCGTGCGCAAGCTACTGGTAGCAGCGCCCTCTCTCGGAGACTCGGTCACACTACAGGTTGCTTAGGTAAAACAGTGGTTTGTGATCATGCGATGCGTTTTAGTTTCACTGTTTCGCTGAAGAATTTTGTTTACAGAACAGTGGGAGGAATGGGGAAAACTTCGTTTCTGCGCACTCAAGTTTTAGTTCAGAGTTTATTAATTGGGTAATCGTGAAATTGTTCGCTATTTTTTGTTGCACTTTCACTTCAAGCGTAGATTATTACATGTATCCATTTTGTTCCACAAATTTATTTTAAATAAAAAAAAGTTATTTCTGTTCCAGGAACAATTACTGTTGAAAAATATAAAACATTAATAATATATACGCACTTAGTTACAACCAAATCGCAAGAAAAAAAAACGCTCTTTTACAGCAATAACATAACGTTCGCTATCCAAAGATGTAAGTTTGTTACAGGTGTGATTTCACACACAGCATAGTTTTAAACACTGCTGCCAGTCCGCGATGGCTAAATAATATTAAAAATATAATGTGGCTTATCAATAGTCAACAGTTACAGCGCAGAAAGAGTATTTAAGTAACCATATAAACACTACTGGTATTAAACATTTACATTATTATTGTACGAATCAATCTTTCATTTTGTCCTCCATACTTCCATTACTCGTTTAAGCTATATGTAAGAAATACCGAATATCTTAGACTTGCCTCTTTTTTTATATAAATCTTTGTGATTCTAGAACATGATTTTTGTAAAATAAGGGATACATATTTTCACCCCAAAATTTATGAAATGTATTATTTTTAACGACATAGTTTCCTTAAATTGAAAGGAAAACGAAAAGTGATTGTTTATATGCAACTTTGTTTTAAAGCATATAAGAAACTAGTAATTCAACAAAACATCCAACAAATCCTCTGGTATGATGTTAAAATCTGAATCCTTTCAGATTTTATTTCTTCCTTTTTACCCCCTTGTTCGAAGCATTGTAATCACGAAAAAATTCTAGTATCATTATTTCAACGGAAATATCCATTTTGGCCGTTTCCAAACCCATTTTAATTATTTTTTTGCTTGATGTGTGTATGTAGGGATAGAATAAAGGACTTCTTCTACAAAACGGATTGTAAAATGGATTTCAAAAGGCTTTTTTTTTTTTTTTTTTTTCTTTTCCCTCTGTGTGTGTGTGTGTGTGACATTTGCACAAGTGTACGTACGTTTGTATCTCGCATAAATCAAAACCGATTAACGTAGAACGTTGAAATTTTGAGCACGGGATTGCAATGACATCTAGGTATGCACTTCCCTTTTTTATTGCAATTGGCAGTACCAAAAGTATATCAAATTAGAGAAGTGTTTTAAATAACAAAAATATTCATGTTTGGGCGATGACAAATTTAAAGACAATTTAATTTTCTACAAATAAAGAAATCTAATTTTAATGCGGTCTACCGGTTTCTATACTTATATTTGAAAAAGCTTTATACTCAATATGAAAAAATAAAGTTATAAGAAGTTTGACTCCCGTACGATAAAAATTGATCAGGATATTTAGTATCAAAATTTGAAATTTTTATGTCATTTTTAACTTGCCTTGAGAAATCTATTATTCAAGTTTAATAATTGTAAAGATTGTTTAATAATTAATACTTTAGGCGTATATTATGTGCAAAAGATACAATATACGGCAGAACAAATAATGAAGTTATCCTCTTTTCTTTGTAACCTCTTTAATAACTTTTGTGCTGTTGGAATCTAATTGCAATTGATTAATTGAACCTACAAATCCTGATGCAATGCTCGTTCCGGTTTTGAAAAACGCTATTTATGCAGATGTTCGAGACAGTGCAGTTCTCGGTGAAGCAGAAGAAAACGGAACAGATGCTATCACCTTTCACCGTGCGAGATAAAAAAGTGAATTTTGCCCTCTCAGACAACGAACTTGATCAAACCAATAAATGATTATCGATAACACTGGATGTTTTCTTCGAGTCGTTTTGTCCACTTCTATTCTTTCCACTCCAACGAGGCCAGAAGTTCGTTGACTTTCAGTGATGAACAACCAAGTCGATCTCAATCGATATTTCTTTTTAGGGAGATTTTGTTCCCCCTCGTTTTTTGACAGCACAAATCTCAGTGAATTAACTTGCGTTAATTCACATTAATCTTAATAGATGCGACAGTCAATTTTGCATACATTTAAAATGATCGCTAAAGGCTCTTTCGCCTGAAATATTGCTGATTTTACTTCTTCAAGAATGTACCACAGTGTCATTCATACGCAAAAACACAATAATAGCTATGGAAATTTCATAAACATGTTGTTATAATTTTAATAAACATACAGGTACTAGCAGAAGCTAGGCTAGTACATCTGCGGTGCTGCTGACTAACTGTTAAGCTTCCGTTGTTAGCCCAGTTCCCCAGGAGTTGATCGAGGGTCTATCACTAACCTTTTTTTCTGCCAACAACCTCTCTAGAGGATCTTCGGCTCAACGTGTATTTCGACTAGCTGTACCCTCTTCCCGCACAAACACTATACATCATTGCATCCATGCATGTACATGCTTTTTCTGAGATTCGAGCCCCGGCCCATCGGTACGGCTATCAGCGTCACTGACCACTATGCGGCTGAAATTTACGGGCAAGAAGAACGGAAAGAATTTAAACTAAGTTTCGACAGGTGTTGCCAATGCACAAAATAAAACATCGATTTTCCACACCCTCAGGCATAGCCAGTCGTCAAAATATTGCTTTTTAACAAAGTGCAAGATCGTCACTTTATTATCGAAATTTATCCAAACGATTAATATGTTGAACGATTTTAAACCATATAAGGTATTTTCTTCCTCCTTTCCGCATGCCTTCGTGCTGTAACGGTAGCACACTCGGCACGTAAGCGAGATGTCCAGGTTCGACTCGCGGCGAGGGCATTGCACATTTTTCATATCTCCTGTTTCAAAATGTTCTAACGTCTCTACAAGCACTAACGCACTTCTTAATAATAGTTAACATTTTTTTTATTATTATTATTTTACAGAAGGGGGGGTTGTACATCTAATGGTTAAAAACTAATACTTTTAATTTATAATTTATCCAAATAATTGTAAGCACTTGCAACATTGTTGCAATTAATGAAAAATGTTTCCAGTGTTATGTCAGTTGTTTAAAATTCATATTGCATGCAGGCTGCAACCAGGATCTAAAAATATACGGGTCAAAACTTTTTTTTTTTTTTTTTTCTTTAAACAAAATGAGAAATTTTATTATCATAATAAAAAATAATCTGAATAAATTTTAAAATATTAAATTAATAATAAAAAAATGCTCGAAATAATTTTAAACTGTATATTAAATTTAATAATAAAAAATGCTCGAAATAAATTTTAACTGTATATTGTGATGTAGCCGTTCCTCAATAGACACAAATGCCGGCTAGCTTTAAAAGGATTTATTAACAGAGCACACAGGAACGGTTACAAACAAAAGAAATATACATAAAAAATGAAACATATACCAAATGGAACATCAAACATTGAGAATAACATAACATAGTAAGCTATCATCATGGCGGCTGGAGGTCGACTGACGTTTTTTCATATCGCCACGAGATGGCGTTTAAATAAAATAGTTCGGTTACAGTTCATGAGTTCATGAATAAAATAGTTCAATTACACTTAAATAGGTCTGTTACATCCTCCCCCTCTGACTTCGTAGACGTCTCGGCAAGAAGTCAGGAACTGACATTTGTCTACTTTGTGCAGCGGGCGGAGAATCAGATGAATGGGCTCCAGTTTGACAAGCAGTAAATTTAGCGTCACCAGCACCTTGTGCAACAGGTGCAGATTCGGGTGGTATTACACGTTTCGGGCGTCCTCTTTTCTTTAAGGGAACCACTGGAGTTACACGAGCTGAGTTTTGAAACTTATTTCGATCTTGATATGGATTCAAGGCTGAAACATGATACTTGCCGAGAATTTTGTCTGGTTCATGAGGATCGGCAATATCATAAGTGGTTGGAGATCTTGTAGTCACTATCACATAAGGACCATCTCTCTTGGGCATGAATTTAGCAGTTTTCTTCAGTGGACCTTTGCTGATTGGGTGGAGGGTGACCCAAACTTTATCTCCAGGAACGAATTTCGGTGTTTCTCTTCGTTTTTTGTCAGCATATCGTTTCTGCTTATCTTGATGCATTTCGACTCTTTCTCGTACCTGTTGTACATTTCTTGCAAAACGTTTCAAATATGGAGTAATTTCGGGAACAAAATTATCGTTCTCAATTACGGCTTTTATATCATGCTTTACATCATCTAAGGTTCGTAACTCTCGTGCAAATTGAAGAAAAGAAGCAGAATGTCCAGTTGAATCACATTTGGCTGTATTCAAAGCAAACCTTATTAATGGCAGTTTATCCTTCCATGACTGATGGTCGTTACCAACAAGTATTGCTAAACGTGGTTTCAGATCTCTATTCTTCCTTTCAACTGGGTTAGATTGTGGGTGATAGACAGGAGTAAGACTTTGATCAATGTTCAAGATATAGCATAGTTGTTGCATAACAGCACTAGTAAACTGGGTACCATTATCACTTATTATTTTCCTGGGTAACCCAAATCGAAGGGCGACTTCCTCCAAAAGAATAGTGGCACATTCTCTGGCCGTGGCTTCCTTTAAAGCAAATAGTTCTGTCCACTTCGTAGCACAGTCCTGCACAATAAAAATCCATTTTTCACCAGACGGTGTTTCAGGAAGGGGACCGAAAAGATCAATTGACAAGGTTTCAAAACGTTGAGCATAGACTGGAATTTGAAGTAAGCCAGATGGCTTTTGATTAGTGGCTTCTCCCCCTACTTTGAAGACAGTGTGATATTTGTTAAGCAATGCATCAGTTGCAAGCCGTTGGGCTGTAGTTAATTGTTGTCCTTCATTTTCTCGTAGTT